CCCTGATGCCTTGCCAAGCTTGTTCCAAGTAGGTGCTTTAGACCACTGAGCAATCACACCAGCCCTCTGTCTCTGTTCTGTCCCTGTTCTGTCCCTCTCAGAGTCTCACTCTGTTGCCTGAGCTCACTTTATATTCATGATCCTCCTGCCTCAGCCTCTCCAGTAGCTGGAATTATTGGCAAATGCATCCGTTCCTGGTTTCTTTTATATTTTATTTTAATTTGAAGAGTGAGGGCCAGCCAAATAGCTCAGTGGATTAAAGCGCCTGCAAGCAGGCATAGGGGTTGGAGGCTTGATCCCCAGACCTGCTGTGCCGGCCTTTTCCCCAGAGTGCTGAGGCAACAATTGAGACTGAGTGTGGTGGTACACACCTGTAATCCCAGCCCTTGGGAGGCTGTAAGCAGGTGGATCACTACAAGTCTGATGTAGTAGTAAGAACCCTGACCACCCTGTAGAACCTTCCTTAAAATAAAAATTAAAAAAAAGAAAATTAGAGTGAAAACAGAAGCAAAAACAAATAGAAAGAAATGACAGAAACAGGGTAACATACAATACGTATGTTACAGATTTTCAAAACAGGGATAGCTAATTAACAGTGGTTGCGGGGCTGGGGAGATGGCTCAGTAGGATAAGCGCTTGACCGGCAAACGCAAGGATCTGAGTTCAATCCCCGGTTCCGAAAAAAAAAAAAAAAAAAAAAAAACAATGGTTGCTATATTTTCTATTTTTTTTTCATTTTAATGAGAAAAAAAGATAAAATAACAGTGAAACAGCTTCAAAACAGGTTAGTATGACTGTTACAATAATTAAGACATTGCAGGGGCTGGTGAGATGGCTCAGTGGTCTAAAGCACCTACTTAGAACAAGCTAAGCTAAGCAAAAGCACAGCAACTGCGGTTCAATCCCCAGCACCACATGCCAGCCAGCCCCGCCCCCGGGTGGGCTGAGCTGGCCACACACACCACACACACACACACACACACACACACACACACAATAAATAAATAAATAAATAAATAAATTTAAAATAAAAAAAGACATTGCATATTGTCTTCCTATAAATGTAATTTTATTTGTTATTATTATTATTATTTTGTGTGTGTATGTGGTACCGGGGATTGAACTCAGGACCTTGCACTTGCCAAACAAACACTTATTCTACTGAGCTATCCCCCCTGCCACATGCCTGATTTCTTCCCACCTGTAAGATGCCCTTTTGCTGGGTATGGTGGCGCACACCTGTGATCCCAGAACTCGGGAGGCTGAGGCAGGAGGCTTGTTCAGACGCAAGACCAGCCTGGGCTAGCTACAAAGTGAGGTCAGGGCCAGCCTGAGCTGCATAGTAAGACCCTGTCTCAAAAAGACAAAAAGATGCCCCTTTAACCCTAGGCTTGATCCCTAGCACCACAAGATAAAAACAAGGAAAGGAAGAAGAAGACAAGGAGGAGGGGCCGGGGAGATGGCTCAGTAAAATAAGCACTTCCCTGGCAAGCACAAGGGCCTGAGTTCCTGGTTCAGGCCTGGCTGTCAGCCCGCGCTGCCGGCTCATGCTCAGCCCTGTGCACACAGTGCCCCAGCAAACACCATTTTTTCCCCTCGAGACAGGGTCTTATGATATATGTAGTCTAGGCTGACCTTAAATTTTCTGTCTAGCTGAGGCTGGCTTTGAACTCCCAATCGTCCTGCCTCAGCCTCCTGTGTCACTGGGATTCCTGGAGTGTGTCATGCACCCAGCTACTTTTTTTTTCCCTGGTGGCCTGTCTGCTTGATCCCTTGGAACTCAGCTTCCAAAAACTAGTCCCAGGAGAAGAGATGACCTGAGACAAGGTCTGCTCTGGCACCCTTTTGCCAAATTCAGGCACCCTCTGTGTGCGTGGTGAGGTGTCTGCTGCTAACACTGAAGGCCAAGGACAAGGCAAGAAGGCGAAGGGGCCAGGCCGGTAGCTCAGGGCCACCTCCCCAGGCTGCAGCCGGCAGCGCGAGTGCTGCAAGACGACCTGCAGAAGAAACCATAATCGATATCCAGGAGCCAAGGAAGAGTCAGCGGAAAAGCTGGAAAGCCCGGAGAAGCTGAAGGCAACTGGGCACAGAGAGGAGCGCTCGGAGGAGTCCCGGCCCAAGCAGCCGCGTCCGCCCGCCCGCCCGCGCTCCGGCGCTCCTCCTTTAGGCACTCAGCGGCCGCGCTGTTGTCACGCAACGCAACGCGTTCCTACGGCTACCGTGATACGTTGTTGTCTTTACTGGATGTTTACTGTACCGTGTGTCAGCAGTCGTTAGTCCTGTGTCTGTCCTGTAACTGCGTGTCTTCTCAATTGTTAAGAGTGGCACCGGGGAGCGTTTGTTCATTCTTTTTTCTTTTCTTTCTTTCTTTCTTTTTTTTTTGCGGAACGGGGGATTGAGCTCAGGGCCTTGCGCTTGCCAGGGAAGCGCTTATTCCACGGAGCCATCTCCCCGCCCCGCTTTTATTCATTCTCATGGCTTGCGATCTCCAGTTGGCCTTCTGTTGTTACTGGTTTCTTTTCTATTTCCGTTGCTAGGCTGGCATAGTTGTTGCTGTTAATTGGTTTTGTTTTGAGACAGTGTCTCACTATGTAGTGCAGGCTGGCCTTGAACTTGCTTACGTCACCCAGGCTGGCCTCAAACTCATGGCAATCCTCCTCCTCAGACTCTCCAATGTCCCAACGCTGGGATTATGGCCTGCACCACCACACCTGGCCTCTTAGTTTTTCGAGGGTATTTTAGGACAGGGTGTACAGGGTTACAGAATCTCACTGCATAGATCACACTGGTAGTGATCCTCCTGTTTACAGCCTCCCAAGTGCTGGGTTTACAGGCCCACGCCACCACACCCACTCTCAACACACCTAGTCTCAATTGCCATCTCAGCGTGCCCCTGGAGCGGGGCCGGTACAGCATGCCAGGGATCGAACTCTCAGCCTCTGCATCTGCCTAAGCAGGCACTTTAATCCGCTGAGCTATCTGGCAAGCCATGTTTGTTTTTTTTTTTTTTCTCAGAACCGGGGATTGAACTCAGACCCTTGCACTTGCCAGGGAAACACTTATTCTACTGAACCATCTCCCTGGCTCCTGTTTTTGGTTTTGAAATTTAAAGAAAAAAATTTATTGATGATCTCAAAAACAATTCCTTTCTTTTTTCTTTTTTTTTTTTTTGGTGGAACCAGGGATTGAACTCAGGTCCTTGTGCTTGCCAGTCAAGAGTTTATTCTAATGAGCCATCTCCCCGGCCCTGAAAAACAATTCCTAAACAAATATGGAACACTTCACAAGTTTGCATATCATCCTTGTCTAGGGGCCATGCTAATCTTCTCTGTATCATTCTTTTTTTTTTGGCAGAACCTGGGATTGAACTCGGGCCTTTGCGCTTGCCAGGCAAGCACTTATTCTACTGAGCTATCTCCCCAGCCCCTATCATACCAATTTTAGTATGTGTGCTGCCAAAGTGAGCACTCTTAGCTAGTTTTTAATTAATTAATTAATTAATTATGTATTCAGTACAAGGTCTATAGAGTCTCATTATAGATCGGATTTGGAGTGATCCTCCTGTTTTCAGCCTCCCAAGTGCTGGGATTACAGGCATGTGCCACCACAGCCCTTAGTCTCAATTGCAGACTCAGTGTGCCCCGGGGATTGAACCTGGTCCCTGCACCTGCCTAGGCGGTTGCTTTAGTCCAGTGAACTATCTGGCAAGCACTTATTCCACTGAGCTATCTCCCTGGCACTAATTTTTTTTTTTTTTTTTTTTGTGGAACCGGGGATTGAATTCAGGCCCTTGTGCTTGCTAGGGAAGCACTTATTCTACTGAGCCATCTCCCTGGCCCCCTAAATTGGTTTTTAATGCATGCCAGTATCTGGCTTGTCTTCATATCACCACCATTACTGTGGTTCATTTCTGGAGAAGAGGGGGGTGTCGGGACAGTTTCTCCGCATGCTCCCTCCCCAAATTACTGGGGTGGTTGGAACATGGGACATTTGGAGAGCCTTCTAGCTATCCACTCCCAGGAAAGTGGACACTAAAAAAAAGGAAGAAAGAAAAAGAAACATGAGAAAGCAAAGCAACAAAATGCTGCCCCAGGGGCTGGTGAGATGGCTCAGTGGTCTAAGGCACCTACTTGGAACAAGCTTAGCAAAGC